TTTGTGATTACCATGGGGATCAACATCCTAAAGTTATTCTAATTTGAATTTATAGAAGCACAACTTCTATAGCAGAAAAACTCTCCTTCACAACTCCATCCATCCCCTCGCCCCTTTGGGTTGTTGATGCCACAGAATTACATCTTTATACCTGTGTGTCCCAAAACATAAACTAATAATTTTTAAAAATGTGTTAGTTTCAAGAAGCCTGGTGGCTCAGTGGGTTAAGTGTCTGCCTTCGACTCAGGTCATGATCTCAAGGTTCTGGGATTGAGTCCTGCATTGGGCTCCCTGCTGAGCCCTGCTTCTCTCTCTGCCTGCTGCTCCCCTCATTTGTGCTCTCTCTCTGACAAATAAATGAAACATTAAAAAAAAAACAAATAAATGCATTAGTCTCCTAAGTAATGTAGAAAACAAATTTTGGAGTTAAAAGCCAAGTTACAAATACTAGTTTTATAGTAGTCATTTTTTCCTTTATATGTGTTAATCTTTTAAGTCACTTAGCTAGGGACGCCTGGGTGGCTCAGTGGTTGACCATCTGCCTTTGGCTCAGGTCATGATCCTGGGGTCCTGGGATTGAGTTCCATGTCAGGCTTCCTGCAGGAAGCCTCCTTCTCCCTCTGCCTCTGTCTGCTTCTGTGTGTGTGTGTGTCTCATGAATAAATACAATCTTTTAAAAAAATCACTTAGCTAAGTACAGTTACAAACCATAGTTACAATAATACTAGCTTTTATAAATGCCCATATATTTACCTTTATGAAGATATTCATTTCTCCATATTGGCTTTGAGGTAATGTCTAGTGTCTATTCATGTCCCCCTACAGGACTCCATTGAGCATTTACTGAGGGGGTACAACTGGAGGTCACAGAATCACTCAGCTTTTTATTCTGGAAATGTCTTGATTTCTCCCTCACTTTTGAAGGACAGTTTTGCCAGATATTGAATTCTTGGTTGACAGGGTTTTGGTTTTTTTTTCTTTTAGTACTCTTAATGCATTGATCCAGTGTCTTCTGACCTACAAATTTTGATAAGAAATCTGCACATATTCTCATGGAGGATCCCTTGTATGTGATAATTTTCTTCTGTTATTGCTTTCAAGATTTGTTCTTTGGCTTTTAAATGTTTGATTATAATGTGTCTCAGGGTGGGTCTCTTGAGTTCATACTACTTGGAGTTTGTTGAACTTCTTGGATATTTATATTCATGTATTTCCTCAAGTTTGCAAAGTTTTCAGCCATTTTTTTCTTCAAGATATTCACTCCTCCCCTTTCTCTCTTCCTTCTCTGGGATGCCCACAATGTGTATGTTGGTCTATTTGGTAATGTCCTACATGTCTCAGGTTCTGCTCACTATTCTTCAATCCTTTTTCTTTCTGTTCCTCAATCTGGATAATTTCCATTGTCCTATCTTCAAATTCATGAATTCCTCTCTGCCTCTGAATCCCCCTGGTGAATTTTTCATTTAGTTGTGGTATTTTCAGCTCCAGAAGGTTTTAGGTTTTCAGTATCCTTGTTAGTATTTCCATTTTGTCCATACATCCTTTTCTTGACTTTCTCCACCTCTCTTTAGTCCTTTGAGCATCTTTAGGACCACTGTTTTAGAGTCTTTGTCTAGTATATCTGCCATTAAATCTTTCTCACAGATTCTGCTGAAATTTTTTCCTTTGAATGGGTCTTTGTCTTGTAATATTTTGTGAAACACTGGACATTTGAATCTAAAATGTGTAACTGGAAATCAGTCTCCTCCTTCCCCAGGTTTTGCTATTTTTTGTTGTTTTCATTTTATTATTGTAGGTTCTGTGCTGAGATCAGCCTGAGGTATAAACAATGTCTTATGTCTCTTCTGAGACTTTCCTTTGGCATTCATAGCCACTTTCTAATTTTCCCTGTACATGCAGCTGTTTTTTAATGTCCTAATATCTGGCTTCCCAGAGGAAAAGCAAAACTGAGGCTGGGGTGGGGGTAGGGTAGTAGTGGTGGTGGTGGTGGTGGTGGTGGTGGGAGTCCTGCCCTTTAAATCTCCTGAAAGTCATTTCAGCTGGAGGGAGAAGGGATTGCAACAATGAGGGAGATGCAACCAGAATGGCTGCTTGCCTCTTTGATCAAAATTAGGAATCAGCAAAGTGCGGATCCCTAACATTTGGAAGACAGGGTCCTTTTTACCCACCCTAGCTCCTGCAAGTTGTGCGCAAGATGCTCACATGGCCGAGGGTGGGGATGGGTGCCACTGTGTGAAGAGCTAACAGTTACTGTCCAAGCCTTCCCCTGCGAGTTGCAAGCTTTCAAGAGACTGAAGTTCCAAGGTTACATCAGAGAGGTTCTCCAGTGCAACTGTTGTCTACCTGGGGAACAGATTCCTGGTGCTTCCTACTCTTATCTTCCCAGAATTCTCACTTCTTGACTGCCTTTGATTTGCTATTTTCCTAGGTAGAGGCTAGTGGCTTTCAGTTAGTCTTTTCCACTGTAATAGCTCTTACCCCACAGGCCAGGGAACCCATGTGGGGATACTGCCAGTTATGGAACATAGCTACTATAATTATATACTTTCCAAGCTGGGGCAATAGCCACAGGACGGTTTATGGGCCCACAGAGCCAGCTGAGACAGCCCTGAGCTGACACTGTGGAAACCTGATCTGCATGAGCCCCTGCTTGGAATGGAGGGGCCACAGGGACACTTGGGGTCTCCTGAGATCACTCCAGTCCAGTCCATGTCCAGGTATCCCTGAGGGTCTATTTCCTCTCCTCAGCTCACAGTTGTCCTGCTCCAAAGCCATCAGTCCCTTGGGTGAAGGTTAGGAGAAAGGCTAACTATAAAGTTTTGGCAGTGTACTTGGGTCCTTGCTCAAGGGGACCAGGACTCCCCTGCATCCAAAGGGTTCTGGGTTTGTACACTAGCTCAAGTCTGGGAACTGACTGAAGGGCCAGGGTTCTCTGTTTTTTATTCAAATACAATTTTTGTTCACTTGACTTACAACTAACTCTTCCAATTATACAAATCAAGAATTTACTAGGCTTCTATGTATTTCATCTAGTCTTCTTATTGGTCCATGACAAGCATTTGCAAGAGATCAGCTAGTGATAGAAGCAAGTTAATTAACATGATGCTCAAGCCAACTAAGCCACTAATTGGTCAGGATCAAAAGTGTTGAAATGTATTTATTATTCTATCCCAACTTTTTTTCAGTTTTAGTCTGGAGAACTTGTAAACATAGCATTCCTGCACTGAGTCAACAGTAAAAGAGGCCCAATTCATTTGTATAGGGTTTTCTCTTCTTTCTCCAATTCACTTAAAAATTTTTTAAAAAGATTTTATTTATCATAAGAGATACACAGAGAGACATAGGCAGAAGACACAGACTCCCTGCAAGGAGCCTGCTGTGGGGACTTGATCCCAGAACCCCAGGATCATGACCTGAGCCAAAGGCAGATGCTCAACCACTAAGCCACCCAGATGCCCCATTCTTTCTTGTTCATAAAAAAGTTTGGGAAGAGTAGCCCTAGGTGGAGAGAATTGTGCTAAGCTTGCTTAGTGAGTAGCAGTTGTATGTGTGTTTTTAAAACTTGTCTATTTGAATGCTGTATGTTGGCAAATTGAACTCAAAAAAAAAAAAAAAAAGACTTGTCTATTTGAGACAGAGAGAGAGATTCAGCAGAGGGGAGGGGCACAGGGAGAGGGAGAAGCAGACTCCGACTTCCCCAGAGCAGGAAGCCCAATGCAGGACTTGATTCCAGGATCCTGAGATCATGACCTGAGCTGAAAGCTGAGGCTTAACCAACTGAGCCACCCAGGCATCCCAGGGTGGCAGTTTAATAGGAAACAGGGAGCATTTTCTTGGGGAAAGAAAAAACAATGAGCAGAGTGGGGTTTGAAGGTTGCTTGAGTAAGGTCTGGTTTGTCAACAGAAGACCTTAGTAACTGGACCTTAAGTGTGCAACATAAAATCAGTCTTGTGGAGACCTTATTTCAGTGTGTAAAGGGTGAATGGGAATTGACACTGAGTTCCCACACTATAAGCAGTCTACTGTACTAATAGATTTACACAGTGATGAGGGCCTAGACCAGTAAGGTGGCAACAGATGTATTGCTGAAGAAACCTGTCTTGCAATAAGCCAAGCAGAGGAACCAAAACCCCAAATTTCAAGCCCAGGTGTGGTCCCAATTGTCAGGCCTTATGACTGTGGCAGTTTAAATGGCAAAGGAGATTTAGGATTGCTAATCAGCGGACTTTACAATAGGAAAATCATCTTAGATTATCTGGGTGGCCTAGTGTAAACACATGGAAGATGCTAGGTGCTAGGAAGGGCACCATGAGCCGATAGAAAATGCAAAGCAAAGGGAATGGATGCTCTTCTAGTGCCTCCCTGCTGACACCCTGGCTTTGGCCCAGTGAACTATAGAAATTTAAGAAAACAAATTTATGTTCTAAGCATCTGAATTTCATGTAACTTGTTGCTTGCTTAGATCCAACATGGTAAGCATCCTTCTATGTCTTCATCTAAGACAAAACTATAGAATCCACAACCAAGCATCCTTCTATGTCTTCAGACAAAATAGAATCCACAACACTCTAATCTCATCTAAGACAAAACTATAGAATCCACAACCAATATTAGGGATCCCTGGGTGGCGCAGTGGTTTGGCACCTGCCTTTGGCCCGGGGCGCGATCCTGGAGACCCAGGATCGAATCCCACATCGGGCTCCTGGTGCATGGAGCCTGCTTCTCCCTCTGCCTGTGTCTCTGCCTCTCTCTCTCTCTCTGTGACTATCATAAATAAAATTAAAAAAAATAAAAAAAAAAGCATTGTGGTGTCTGGTTGGCTCAACTGGCAGAGCATGTGACTCTTGAATGTAGATTCTACATAAATGTAGATTCAAGCCCATGGGGTATAGTAATTACTTAAAAAAAAATCTTAAAAAACAAAACAAGCAGTATCTGCTAAAGACATCCCAGTTCACAAGAGGTAGTAGAAGGGGAAATGGAGGGGGATGGGGTGACTGGGTGACGGGCACTGAGGAGGGCACTTGACAGGATGAGCACTGGGTGTTATACTGTATGTTGGCAAATTGGACTTCAATAAAAAAAAAAGAAAAAAAGAAAAAAAAAGACATCCCAGTTCAGGTAAGAGTCCAATTAATGAAAAGGAAGTAGGACACCTAAAATATAGTGGTTATCAGGTCCATGAATGTTGAGTGAAAGATGATACATATTTCTTACAATTTTCTAATTTTCTATTTATAGAATTTCTCATATTATAGAAAATCATTGGACTGAGTTTATTTAAAATAGTTATAATTACATAGGAAAGTAAGAAAATGAAAATGTAGACAGGGTCACAATGACTAGAGGCATGTGACTGTACAGGAAGCAAATTGCCAAGGTTTAAAAAAAAAAAAAAAGTATTAGATTATCCTGATCTGAGACGTAAAAGAAAAAAAAAAGTAGAAAGCCACAAATGAAGTGAGGCCAAGAACACAGTGGCTTAACCAAAGGCCAAAACTATTTGTGCATCTTCAGCATCATATCCTCTGTATTATGAAAAAACCCACGAGATAGCAAGTCAGGGGATGTAGTTGGCTCCACCTTGAAAAGGTCTAGGAAGGGTTCTGTGAGAAGTGTGCACCAAAAGTGTAAAGTCCTAAGTAAATGTCACACATAACACAGCTGGTTTGAGACTGCAGGCTTCAAAACGGTTTTTGCATGCTCAACACCTTTGTATGTTCGTCATAATTTTAATCAAGCCAGCATTGATGAGAACAGGACTGTCTTATCCAAGGAACCCTACCTGTCCTACTTGCTGGCCTAGAAGGAAATGCCAGTACTGGAAGCTTGTTCTGAAGGGACCCAATATAAACGGACGACAGTTTAACTACTCACCCAGGAGGTGAGACCTGGAGCCTGTAAGTTCTTCCCAGTATTCTATAAACACTAAGTCTTCTCAATTGGCATATTACTTTGGAGGCTATGAAAAAAAGTGCTCACTGTTCAAAAATGTCTAGGAACAGCTTAAATAAACGTAGTCTCTCAACCCTTGGGTGCACAGGAGAATCCTTATGGCACTAAATGCTTCACACTGTTTACACAAGTCCACCAGGTTGTGGATCTTCCACAAGGAACACTGCCAAGTGTGGCATTTCCTTCACTTACCTGACCACAGAACTGAGAAAACCTAGCTTTAGGAAATGCTGCTCCAGATAGGAAAATTAGCATGCTGAGAACGGGGAGAACAAGAAATAATGGAATCTGGGTGTCATACAATGAAAATTACACAAAAGAATACACACACATGAGGATGCTGCTGACATGATAGCCTTTGCTTTTAATTTGGTTGATACACATTTGACAAAATAGTTTAGAACAAAAATAATCAACAAACAGGCACAAAGTATTTACAGGTAACAACTGTGGAAAACATACAACTGACATACTCTCAAACAGAAATGTCTACTTAAAAAATTTTCTACTGTGAATCTGGAAGACTCTCAGTTCCTACTCATCACCAGGTCTGAAACCCCACAGGTGACGTGTGAGGCGCAGGAGCAGCAAGTGCAGTTCTAACACATTTGGCGGTTAAGGATCATCTATAGGTGTGGGCTCACAGGGAAGAGAAGAACCAGACCTGGGGGTGGGGTGGGGAAGGCGATGTAGAATGGAAGACTCCTCAGAAGGAAACAACTAAGGACAAGACCTAAGTCACACTCATCTTTCCCAGTTTCCTAAAGGAAGCTGCAAACCTTTTAAAACTTACTCTACATCTTTTAGCAGAAAATCAGCAACCCTGAGACTCTAATTTTCCATGACGTAAAAGTTAATAAACATCTAGAACTGCTCAAGATTTATAAATAACTTCATATGATCAAATAGGGACTTCAAAATAACTTTTATGATCTGAAAATACATTTAAGAGAAAATTTCTGAAATTTTTCATACCTAATTCTTAAACATTCCAACTAATAATTTCCATTGTCTGGAGTTAGTTCCACAAAAAAAAGATACAGACACTTTGATTAGATGTTTCAAATTGAGTACAACTTGCTATTGATTGTTAAGTGGACCACCTACATTTTCATATTATTCAAATATATTTAAAAGGAATTAGAGAAATTTTATACATCTGGAATACAGTTATGAATTTATTGACTTACAAGATAGTCACATAAACAGAGACCATGAAAAAAAGAACCAAATGCTTATTCTCTGTAACACTACTGAGACAATTAAACACAATACACCATACACATCAACATCTACTGATCCAACTATGCTATTAACTATGCTTTACAGTTTCAACAAACTTTGTAGATCACATATCCACACCATGTAAAAATCAAATTTGCTGCTCCTCCAGTGGCTGTTCAAGAGCTTCCATTAGCTTTTTATTTGCTTCTTCATTATGCCGGCTTTGACAGTGAGTTAAATGTTTTTTAAAGCCTCTTGGGAAATTTGATTCAAAATTACAACGTGGACATTTAAGTAAACTCTGCCCATGGGCTGCTACATGATTTTTAAGGAGAGATTCCAAAAGAAAAGCCTTTCCACAAATTGTACATTTGTAAGGGCTATGAACATTATGTTTATTAACCAAATGATGCAAAACTGCACCTTTTTTCATAGCTCGACAGCAACAAATTTTGCAATAATACTTTCCTTTTCCACGCTTCATATACTTTGCAATCTCTTCTTCAGAGATAAAAGCCTCTTTCTCTTCAGTAAATTGTAACACATTTTTGGACTGCTCTGGATTAGTCATATCCATTTTGTTCTCTTTACTGAAATCAATAGATTCCACATCTACCTGCTCTTGATCACTGCTTGATTCTTGGCCCTTGCTGTCTATCACATCTAAATCTGCTTTTATATACTCACTGCTACTAAGCTCAGCATCTGAGTTCTCTTGGTTGTCTTTCTTGAGTTTTTTTGAGGAAGGAAATAAAGTGTCTTCTAAGAGTTTTTTAGGTGTAGCTAGTAGTTCTTCTTGAACCAAAATATCACACTTTTGATCATCTATGGCATCTGTCTGTAGTTCATCACCAAGCTCAACTGCCTTCTGAGACTCTGAGAAGATAGCAGATTTAGGAAGTTCAGGGAAAAGGGCATGTTTCCGGGGCTCTGGAAAAAGAGCACGTTTTCGTGGTTCAGGAGAAGCTGGAGGGGCTGTTTTGGTGGGCTCAGAAAACAAGACCGGTTTTCTAGGTTCAGTATCAAGAGAGAGAACAGGCTTCCAGATATCGGAACCTGCTTTAGGGGACTCAGATGGTCCAGAAGGTTTCCGGGTCTCAGGGAAGACAGGTTTTTGAGGTTCAATAAAAAAGGAAGACTTCCAAAGGTCTGGGGAACCACCACGGGAACTCTTCTGGGACTCGGAAAAATCAAGTGAAGCAGGAGAAGTTTTTCGCTGATCAGAAGAAAGCTTCCAAAGCTCTGGAGACCCTGAAGGTTTTCTGAGCTCTGGAGATCCTGCTGGACTGCGGATCTCTGGGGACAATGGTGGGCCTGGTTTGCGAAGTTCAGGAGACAAGGGAGGTCCTGCTTTACGAAGCTCAGGGGACACTGAGGGAACTGTCTTCCAATGTTCAGGTGACAAGGTGGGAGCTGTCTTTCGGAGTTCTGGTGGGCCAGACTTCCACGCCTCAGGAGACGCAGGGGGAGACTTCCAGGAACCAGGTGAAACCGATGAAGACTTCCAGGATGCGGGGGACACAGAGGAAGTTGGTTTCCATGGTCCAGGTGAGATAGAAGGAATTGGCTTCCAAGGACCAGGAGACACAGATGGAGCAGGTTTAGCTGGCTTCCAAGGTCCCGATGATGCTGAAGGACTAGATTTCCAAGACCTCGGGGACCCAGGTGGCCCTGGCTTCCAAGAACCTGGTGACACAGCTGGGGCTGGTCTCCTGGGCTCTGGAGAGACAGCAGGGAATGGCTTCCAAGGTTCAGGAGATTCCGATGGGGATGGCTTCCTTGGCTCAGGGGAGATAGTCCGGGCTGGCTTCCGAGACTCTGGAGATGCAGTTGGGGATGGACCCCAAGGTTCTGGAGAAGCAGCTAAAACTGGTGACTCTGGAGATGAGCCTGAAGGTGGCCCCAATGTTTCTGTGAAATGGGAGTGTTTTTGAGGTTTAGGATTAACAAGAGTGGCCTTTACTGGCTCAGGAGATATAGGACCAAGTTTCTGCGGTTCTGGAGAAGGAACAGGGACTGGTTTCTGAGATTCAGAAACAAGAGGGACTGGTTTTGGAAGTTCAGGAGAAGAAACAGAGGCAGATTTTGGAGCCTCAGGAGAAGGAAGAGAGGGTGTCTGTGGCTCAGGAGAAACAACAGGGCCAGGCTTCTGAGGCTCTAGGGAAGTGAGAGGTGTAGGTTTTGGTGATTCTGGAGACAAAATCGGGCCAAGTTTCTGTGTTTCTATGGAAAGAGCAGGTATAGGTTTGGGGAGTTCTGCTGAATTTGAGGACATTTTCTGGTGCTCAGGAAGAGGAGGGCTTTTCCCAGGATCTGTTTCTTTGCTTACTGGATTTTTTGGTTTCTCATTCCACTTCTCTGGGCCTGCATGTTTGGATGTAATGTGATAGTACACATTAGAGTACATCTTGCTGGTGAAGAAGCACTTATGGCAGTGAAACAGCTTTGCACTTTTCTGGTAAAAAATCATTTTACCTAACCCACCAGCATCCATTTCATCACAAAATTCTGGATGGATGGTACCCATGTGGATTTGCACATTTTCATAATCTGTGCCTCGAAAACTGCAGTGGTCACACTCCAAACGTGATGATGGTTTACGGACTTCCTGGAATACTTCCATTTCTCTCTCTGTCACAACACACACGATTATATTCTTTAAAAACTTTCAACAGTGCTGCAACAAAGTAGAAATTAATTATTTTCAGGGAACCTAATTTTGAATAAAGTGCTGTTCTCTGTCCATTCTAAACCTGCATAATTTTAAGTCTCATATGGCATGTACATTTATCAGATAATACCTTAATAGAGATTTTAAAGAGAAAAGAGAGAATGAACTAATTTTTAATCTTCCTAACACTATGACTCAGTATTACTTTTATTTGCAGATGAAGAAATAGGTTCAGAGGTGCCTTACCCCAGTAATAGGACTGCCAGTGACCCAAGCTTGATCCCAGAATCACCTAGCACATGCCTTACAGCCTGACTGTGAAATCTGGAATGAACAAGCTGTCAACATATAAAGCTGAGCCAACATCAAAATTAAAGCTAGGCAGTTTAGATCCACTTCAGAAATACTTTAACTAAAATTATGAAAAGGTGGCTTTTAAAAAATATCAAATTATTCTGTAATGTTTTATCCCACCTAATATAAAGTATTTCATTCATTCATTTCATAAATGAATTATTTTTTGTGCCCTGCTTTTCTAGGGTTTAAAGGGTGTCTTAAAAAAAAAAAGAGGTGTCTTGTACTATGGTGGTTACATTAGGTGCAAAACCAACTGTGAACGTAGAGAAGGCTGTCAAGGAAAGATGCTCAGGCATTGATTCTGAATGATGTAAAGGAGTTTGCCTAGCAAAGGGCAATTCAGAGAGATGACTAACCCTTAAGGCAGGAACTTGTCAGTAATTATGACTTTTTAAAAGTTTAAGCAAGTCTTCTAGGGTGGTAAAAAGTAACAGGAGCTTATAGCTAAAAATGGGATATTAAACACACTGCTCTGCAACTTGTTTTCATTTAGGGAAGAGAAGATGCTTCAGGAGAAAGAAGACCAGCTCCTGAGGCTTCACGGTGAGAAGTGGAGTTTCAGTGATTCTAGAAACCAAAGAAGGCCAAGTTTCTGTGTTTCTACCTAGAGTTCTGTTTCTACTTATACAGAGAGCAAGCACTAAATCTTCTTGTGCATATCTTGAGTATGAGGGTATTTCTGAAGAGAAAATTCCTAGAAGTGAATTACCGAGCCAAAGGTGATTTACATTTATAATTGACAGATTTCACAGAAGTCTCGAAAAGTTACAATACTATTATGTACCAATCAACAAGTGTATATACCGTGGACAATTCCCCAACTCCCTCACCAATACTGAGAATTATTAAACTTCTAATCTTTGCCACTTCTTGGGTGAAAATTGGAGTCTCAGCATTGTTTTAAGGTACTTTACTTTAATATGAAAGAGAGAAAATTTCCCTTGTTAGCCCTGTGTATTTCTTTTGTAGGATGTGCCTTCTCCTTTTAATTATTTGTAAACAGTATGCATAAAAGAAATCAGCTCTTTTATTGAAAATATTTTCATAGTTTATCATGTCTCTTGACTTATGGTACGTATATGTATATATATGTGCGCTTTTTCACACACAACTGGTTTATGGAAAAATTAAAAACTTAAAGGTGTCTTCCTTACGATTGTTATAAATTATGCTTTCCTATTCTGATACTTTTTAAAGCAGTCAATACTTTTTTACTATGATTTTGAGGATTTCATTCTTCTTACATTTGTACTTTTTTGAGGGAGGGAAAGGGACAGAGGGAAAGAGAGAACCTTAAGCAGGCTCCATGCCCAGGGTGAGACAGCCCAACATGGGGCTCTATCTCACAACCTTGGGATCATGACCTGAGCGAAAACCAAGAGTCAGACACTTAACCGACTGAGCCACCCAGGCACCCCCTTACATTTATATTTTTACTTTATCTGGTAAAAGGAGGGAGATAGGGATTCAGCCTATTTTTTCATCCCAAACGACAATTCAGTGGTCTCTGCAACCCTTTTCCTCACTGATATGTAATGTTCCATTTTGCATTTACTCAATTTTGTGTTGTTAAATCCATTCTGGATTCTAGTCTTTCTTTTTAAAATTTTTTTTTAGGCAATCTCTATCTTCAAAACAGGGCTCGAACTCACAACCCTGAAATCAAGAATCACATGCTCTTCCAACTGAGCCAGCCAGGCACCCCTGGACTCTTCTATTCTCTACCATTTCCATCTTGTATGCTCTTCTCAGCATGTGAACTCAACAGCTGCCAAAACAGATTCTGTAACACAGCTGATGAGTTTATCCAAGTGGATCACAAAGTCTTTTCTCATTAAATTATGTCCTATCCTTCTTTTTTTTTTTTTTTTAAGGAAGGCGAGATTTGCATTTGTGTCCAGGAAGTCAGAAGCCCCTTTGCACTTCCTTTTTTTTTTTTTTAAAGATTTTATTTATTTATTCATGAGACAGGGGGTGGGGGGGTGGGGGGAGGGCAGCAGGGAGCAGACACAGGCAGAGGGAGAAGCAGGCTCCATACAGGGAGCCTGATGTGGAACTTGATCCCAGAACCCTGTAAAGGATCTATACTTTAAAAATGATAGAACTCTTCTGAAAGAAATTGAGGAAGACACAAAGAGATGGAAAAATATTCCATGCTCATGGACTGGAAGAATGAATATTGTGAAAATGTCAATGTTACCCAGGGCAATTTATACGTTTAATGCAATCCCTATCAAAATACCATGGACTTTCTTCAGAGAGTTAGAACAAACTATTTTAAGATTTGTGTGGAATCAGAAAAGACCCCAAACAGCCAGGGGAATTTTAAAAAAGAAAACCATATCTGGGGCATCACAATGCCAGATTTCAGGTTGTACTACAAAGCTGTGTTCATCAAGACAGTGTGGTACTGGCACAAAAACAGACACATAGATCAATGGAACAGAATAGAGAACCCAGAAGTGGACCCTGAACTTTATGGTCAACTAATATACGATAAAGGAGGAAAGACGATCCACTGGAAGAAAGACAGTCTCTTCAATAAATGGTGCTGGGAAAATTGGGCATCCACATGCAGAAGAATGAAACTAGACCACTCTCTTGCACCATACACAAAGATAAACTCAAAATGGATGAAAGATCTATAAATGTGAGACAAGAGTCCATCAAAATCCTAGAGGAGAGCACAGGCAACACCCTTTTTGAACTTGGCCACAGTAACTTCTTGCAAGATACATCCACGAAGGCAAAAGAAAAAGCAAAAATGAACTATTGGGACTTCATCAAGGTAAGAAGCTTTCGCACAGCAAAGGATACAGTCAACAGAACTAAAAGACAACCTACAGAATGGGAGAAGATAATTTGCAAATAACATCAGATAAAGGGCTAGTTTCCAAGATCTAGAAAGAACTTATTAAACTCAACACCAAAGAAACAAACAATCCAATCATGAAATGGGCAAAAGACATGAAGAGAAATCTCACAGAGGAAGACATAGACATGGCCAACATGCACATGGGAAAATGCTCTGCATCACTTGCCATCAGGGAAATACAAATCAAAACCACAATGAGATACCACCTCACACCAGTGAGAATGGGGAAAATTAACAAAGCAGGAAGCCACAAATGTTGGAGAGGATGCGGAGAAAAGGGAACCCTCTTACACTGTTGGTGGGAATGTGAACTGGTGCAGCCACTCTGGAAAACTGTGTGGAGGTTCCTCAGAGTTAAAAATAGACCTGCCCTACGACCCAGCAATTGCACTGCTGGGGATTTACCCCAAAGATTCAGATGCAATGAAATGCCGGGACACCTGCACCCCGATGTTTCTAGCAGCAATGTCCACAGTAGCCAAACTGTGGAAGGAGCCTCGGTGTCCATCGAAAGATGAATGGATAAAGAAGATGTGGTTTATGTATACAATGGAATATTCCTCAGCCATTAGAAATGACAAATACCCACCATTTCTTCGACGTGGATGGAACTGGAGGGTATTATGCTGAGTGAAGTAAGTCAATCGAAGAAGGACAAATATTATATGGTCTCATTCATTTGGGGAATATAAATAATAGTGAAAGGGAATAGAGGGAAGGGAGAAGAAATGGGTAGGAAATATCAGAAAGGGAGACAGAACATGGAAGATCCTAACTCTGGGAAATGAACTAGGGGTGGTGGAAGGGGAGGAGGGCGGGGGGTGGGGGTTACTGGGTGGCGGGCACTGAGGGGGGCACTTGACGGGATGAGCACTGGGTGTTATTCTGTATGTTGGCAAATTGAACACCAATAAAAAATAAATTTATTATTACAAAAAAAATAAAGATTTTATTTATTTATTCATAAGAGACGGGGGGAGGGGGCAGCGGGGAGCAGACACAGGCAGAGGGAGAAGCAGGCTCCATACAGGGAGCCTGATGTGGAACTTGATCCTAGAACCCTGGGAGCATGTCCTGGGCATGAAGGCAGGTGCTAAACCGCTGAGCCACCCTGGCGTCCCTGTCCTATCCTTCACCAGAAGTATCAGCTACCACCAAGAGCATTTAATGTGCTCTGTGCTAACAGTAATTACAGGGTCAAAATGTATTCCTTCCAGGTTACTGCTCCTCAAACTACAATACAGATTAGAGATACTTATTTATATTAAGAGGATCCCCTTTAATAATTTCAGAAACAATAACTTAAAAAACTGGACAATATTTCTAATTTTGAGAACTTGTCTTGAAGATGTTATTGCCTACAACACTGTTTTCTATCACCTATATTACTGGTTTATTATTTGCGTTTGGGGGGAGCAGTTTAAATATAAAAAGGTGACAAGACAGTTGAGGAAACAAACGAGTGCTTTTCAGAAAGTATTAGCTCCTTCAGGAATTCTGAAAGAATTAGCTCCTGCAACTATCCTGGCTTTCAGAAAATCGTTTCAGAAAGTCAGCTCTATGGGCTGACTAAAAAAAGAATATAGTCACTGAATACTGAATAAAAAAATCTCTGAAACTTGCAAACATAATGAAGATAACATGTAGAAAGAATGTGTAGGTTAACGATCCACCTAAAACCCAGTGTCTCATAAAAGTATAAGAATGTTTTAAGAAAAGGCAGCGATTTCTCAATAACCGCATCTGGCCTAAATGGCCACAATCAACAGTCAAGGGATGTTCATAAGGGGGACATTACATATTAAAAGCCATCATTATAGTATAATAAACCCTAAGTTGCATATATATGACACAGAGGTTAAGACCTCAGGCTTGTCGGGTTTGAGTGAGTCCTGGTTCCAGTATATGGCTTTTGTTAGGTTGCTGAACTTATGTTTCAGGTTCCTGGACTCTACATCGGATGTTAATATTTTGTAGCATATTTAGAACAGTATCTCATGGTGAACCCTCGGTGTCAGCTATGATTATTATACTAGAAACTACAAGGGCATCCTCTAACCAATAGTTCAGTTTCTGGTAAGTAAATATTGCCCAATGACCTTGCTAAAGTTATGGCTGACCAGCACGCAGTATCTCATCTGAAATATACTCAAGTCCTATTTATGATAGGAAGATAGACTTTGTACTTTCACAACTTGAGTTTCTTAAACTGAAACTTTTCCCATCTTCTCAAGAAACTAGTGGAGTAGGAGAAAGTATCTTACCAGTAACCTCTCTATTGTCTTTGCCTAATGTACAGTCCTGTCAACAACTTTCTTCATTTCCTGTATGTTAACTCATCAACTTTTTACCAATACTAGTTCATAAAATAGAGGTTATCAATAAGCCTAATAAGTGTATAATGCAGGAATCAGATTATGAACTGTAAGAATAAAGCATTTTGTTCTCTTCCTACAGAAATTACTGAGCACACTATTCTGTCATCAGGAAAGTTTTTAAAAAATGCTTCCATGGCATGCCTGGGTGGCTCAGTTGGTTAAGAGCCCACCTTTGGCTCAGGTTGTTATCCCAGTGTCCTAGGATGGAGCCCTATACCGGCTTCCTGCTCAGTGGGGGAGTCTACTTCTCCCTCTGCCCTCCCCACTCATGCTCTCACTCTCTTGCTAATAAATAAATCTAAGGGAAAAAAATGCTTCTGGCAAACTTACCAAATGAAAAAGAAAATAAAACCACATCTCATAAATTGACATCTCTAACATTAGTGCAACAACTGGAGAACCACACCCCCTGTTCCCACTCCTATGAAAGAATTGTGGTTCCTTTCCTTTTTTTAAAAAAAAGATTTTATTTATTTATGAGAGACACAGAGAGTGAGTGAGAGGCAGAGACACAGGCAGAGGAAGAAGCAGGCTCCAGGCAAGGAGCCTGATGTGGGACTTGATCCCAAGACTCCAGGATCACACCCTGGGCCAAAGGCAGGCACTAAACCGCTGAGCCACCCAGGGATTCCCCTTGTGGTTGCTTTCTATAGGCAAAACTCTACCACTATTTCTGCTTACTTCTACTTTCCATTGGCTGTATCTCTGTTTCTTGCCTCTCTGGAAATTTTACACTAACCCTACATTTTGTTGCTGCTTCTGTAAATTAGTTTATCTTTCTTTTTTTAAAGATTTATTTATTTATTTATTTATTTATTTATTTATTTATTTATTTATTTATGAATGATAGACACACACACACAAAGAGAGAGAGAGAGAGAGAGAGAGAGAGAGAGAGAGAGAGAGAGAGGCAGAGACACAGGAGGAGGGAGAAGCAGGCTCCATGCCTGGAGCCTGACCTGGTCTCGGGACTCCAGGATCGTGCCCTGGGCCAAACGCAGGCGCTAAACCACTGTGCCACCCAGGGATCCCCAATTAGTTTTCTTTGATGAATACCACTTGCCCTAATTCCTGCTGCTTTTGCCTCCAAGTGGCCCCCAGCCACCTCAGCTTGGATTCCTTTTGTCCTTAACTGCTGCATGTTAAATCATCAGCTCTCTCACCCTCCATGGAGTGCCAATCAGTTCCTCACAGATCCTGCTCCCTCTCAATCTGTGTTAAATCCGATGGCTCCTTAGACTTGGGTGTTTCCCATCTCCCTCACCTGCCCCTCCCTATTTCCTCTTCTTACCATCAACTCTTCTGGCCAGTCTCAAAGTGTCTATTTCCCAGCCTCATTATCAGACCCTAGTAACCCCTTACTCAAAAAAATTTTTTAAAGAACTGTTTAAAATTCACTTCTCAAACCCCAAACTCTGTCATATATATGCATACCTGTCACATCTTCATGCATCATTATGTATGCACATATATGCTTTTGTAGATTTTCCTTAGGTGTAAGCACTTCACATCTTAAACATACTCTCCTAATTGTTATAAAGCAAACAAAAACAATATGCAAAGTAAAGCTGGTAAAATAACACTATAAATCCAGGCCAATTCCCCTTAGAGCAGGGAAGAAATAAAGACCAACAATACTTCCTCTGGTAGACTTACCAGTTTATCTTCCTAGAAGCCTTGAAAGTATGTCTTCAAAGGGCAAGCAAGTCTACATGGCTTCTGAGTTAATTATAGAAAATAGTTTGTAGTACGTGAAGAACAAGGATGAGAAGATGGACCTGGAAAAAAAGAATAAAGGAACCGTAATCAAAACTACATTTCTGTGATAATCTATGCAAAAGAACTCTGCCTATTTCTCTTGCTGACCTGCTCCCTGCCAACAGTGACAGGGGTCAATCCACTTGCTTTAATGAAATAATACCAAAGATATCCATGGATACTACCAATGACACCACCCACATCTTATTCCACTTTAAAATCCAGGACCGAATCCTGAACCCTGGTCTATAACCACAGCACTCAGATTCATCGTCTCACTTCAGCTGCCGAGACCACAGGATACAGGAGCAGCTGATGTTTTGTCCGTTATCCACCACACTACACTGCAGAGCAGTAAAGTAACAGGTAGTGAGGAAGGGACAAGATTGTCCACAGGACCAAGGGGCAAAGAAGGAAGAGGCATCAGAGGATAAGGAAGGACAGTGGTGCTCCAGTGACTGCACAGCCTCTTCAAACATGGATTTCAGAGAATGTGTCAGGGTCCGGGTAAGCTGTTGACTTGAATAGCAAGAACAAAACTGGCCACGAACAAGCCAGGCGATAGTGTACAGCACACCACTCTACCCATGGTCAAGCTGTAATGTGGATAGCTGTGCTGTCTGTGCCTCTCTAGCCTTACTTCCTCGCCATCCAATCGCCATACTGTTTCCAGTCATCTTCCAAATACAACCTAATGCCATTGGCCTGCTCACAGTTCCTCAAAATATCCCCAACACCTACAGAAGACAAAACCACGGTATATATAGCCCTTCACAATCTGTCCCCTGACTGGACTTCATTTCTTTAAATACAAACCTAGCCTCTGGACTTTCACACAGGCATTTCCTCTACTTTATACTCCCTGGCATGGTAAGTTTACACACTCGGCCATCGGGCAAGTTTCTCCATCCTTTAGGAAGAATTACTTCCTAAAAAACAATGGCCAACACCCTCCCCAACTCTCTTTGTGTGCACACCTTCCATGTAGCCATTACTCTCCGGCACTACAAGTCTGGCTCTCAGAGGGCAGGGAGTACCTGTTCACCCCTGTAACCCTTGCACATTCTTGGCACATGGTATATGCTCAGAAAGTATCTGTTCGTTACCTCTAAACATCCCATCATGAAGACTAGAGACTTGATCTTAGATTCATAGGACTTTAAAACTAGAAGAGACCTGTGCTACCATCTAGTTTACAAATCACTGTGATTCAGAGCAGAAAGACCTCAGGGATCATCTACTTTGAAACTTCAATTTATGGCTGAGAAATTCAAACCTAGACATTAAGTAATTTACTCAAGATGAAGCAAGTAATCAGCATCTCACAAAGGACGAGATTAATGTTCTGTCATCTACCTAGGTTCTTTCTAATATATCTTGACTAAACTAATACACTAGAACCTAGAAGATCTTGACAAGCTAGTGTAATGGACAAAATCAGTAATACGAATCGACAGAGAACTGCACTCCATCATCTACGTCAGACAGAATGTCCCAGTGGATCACTGTCTCCAGCTCTGGGCAGGAAGGATGAGTTCAGAATACTAGGCAACATGCAAAAGAAAGCAACCAGGATGGCAGGTAGTCTTTAAAAACATGTCTTTTCTGAGTACAGAAAATGACTAATTTCAAGTGGAAGAATTATGGGTAATATGTAAGGTATCCTAGAAGCAACAAGTGGAAGCCAGCAGGTAAACAGATTCCAGCTTAAGAAAAAGTTTTACAAACTACTCAATCATGGACTAGAATGAGTTGCTTTCCCAGGTTAAGAGCCCTCCATAACCACAAGCCAATGGTCAGTATAGGACTGAAAGGATCGTCAGACGACTTGAGTCTAAACTCTCCACTTTAGAATTGAGAAAACTGATGCTGATGGAGAAAAGTGCTTGGGATCACAACAGTTAGGAAGGTCAGAGGATGCCTGATTCTGGACCTTTGCTGAAATACCATGAGGTCTTTCCCATCAGCATGCTGCAGAATTCAGCTCCTGGGTAGACGCCGGACACTGAGATTCCTTCCAGCTTTAAGATTCTAGCCATTTCCCACCCTAAATTTCAGAGCTCCTAAGCCTAACTAAGAAAGTAACTCTACAGTGTCCACACTAACAAGTTTCTCTCATCCTACTTCCTGCCTCTACAGACTACATGCTGTTCCTAAGAAAGGTTCTAAGTAGTTTGTGGGTCCACCACATCACACCTATCTCCTATCCAACAGAAAAAATCCAAAGTTCCCTACTTCAAAAAAATTCTTTTTTTTTAAAAAGGGAAAGTTCTCTACTTTCATTTACTTCTTTCCTCTTGTGCACACAACTTCTATTACTAACATACTGTATTAGTATACTTGTTAGTACTGAAGAAGGAATGCTGAAAAATTTACTAAAGTGAAGTTTAGTTAGAGGTCACCTAACCTGTTGTCCTGGCCTACGGGTTTCCACAAACAGTGTCACATACCCAGCATTACAGAATGGAACAGAATAATTTCACAGCTGTAACAGTTCCTTGTGCTCCTCATAACCACTGCTCTTGTTACTGTCTCTGTGGTTTTGCCTTTTCTCAGACTTTTGGGTTTTTTTTTTTCTTCTTCTTCTTCTTCTTCTTCTTCTTCTTCTTCTTCTTCAGATTTTATGTATTTACTTGAGAGAAAAGGACAGGGACAAGCAGACTCTGTACTGGGCAGAGAGCACTACTGCAGGACCCAAGATACCATGGCCTGAGCCTACACCAAGGGTGGGCGACTCAACGGATCGCACCACCCAGGTGCCCCCCCCCATGCATTTAAAAAATTATGGTAAAATGCAACAAAACTTACCATTCTAATTTTCAAAAGCACAATTCAGTGGCATTAAGTACATCACAAGGCTGTACAGCCATCCTCATTACCCGTTTCCATGACTTTTCAAGAGCACAAACAGTGACCGGTAATCCCCCGCCTCCCCCACCCCCACTAGCCCCCGGTAATCTCTATTCCGTTTTCGGGCCCCGTGAGGGCACTCACACGTGTGTCCTTTTGTGTCTGGCTGACTTCGCTCCCCACGTCTACGCCACAGCAGGTACTGGAATCGTGTTTATTCTCGACTCCGAATCGCATTCCACCGCAAAAGCCACGACCGACTTTCTGTGCACCTCTCGATGGATACTCGGGGGACTTCCCCCTTTGGCTACTCTGAACGAAGCTGCCTGCTGTGGTCCCTGTTTCGGCTCTTCGGCTCGCGGCTGGCTCGGCGCCCCCCCCCCCCGGCGGAGCCGCCCCGTGGCAGTGCGGCGGCACACGCTCGGGTCTGCGTCCCCCAACCGCCGGCGGACGCGCACCCCGAGAGGTGCTCCCGGGCCGTCCCCGCGCTTCCTCCGAGCGGACCGACGTCCCGCGGCCGCGTGCAAGCCGGGCTCTCGCGTCGCCGAGGGGCCGCTCTCCGCGCACACTGTGGGCACCAGCCCCGGCCGGCTCCCGTCGGGGCTGCCCGGCTCGCGTCCCGGCAGCAACAAGGACAAAAGCCCGCGCCGACCGGGGGCAGCGAGAGCGCGTCCTGAATCGAAGTGGGGCGCGTGCCTCCTCCGCGGGGCGGGGCGGGCCGGGCCGGGCCTCCCCGAGGGGTCTCGCGCTGCGCTTCCCGCCACCCGCCGACGCCGCGGGGCTCGCCTCCCAGCCCGAGGCCCACCTCGCCGGCGGGCTCGGCGCAGGCCGCTCCTCGGCGCACGCCCCGGGCGGGCCTCTTCAGAAGGACCCGAGCCGGCGAGGGCGTCCCAGCCCGGACGACACCCCGGCCCGCCCGCCCGCCCGCCCCGCTCCTCACCGGTGGGCCGCGGCGACGTCCACACCCGAGGAGGACTGGGCGAGCCGGGCTGCTCGCAGTCCCGGGCTGCTCCGCGAGGCCCTGCGGCGCGGCGGCCTCCCGAATGGCGGCTGGCTCGGCGCAGGCGCGGGCTGCGAGCGCGCGGACGTGCGCGCCGCCGCGGGAGGAGCGGCGGGGGCTGATGGGAAGCGAGCTGGGCGCCCCGCGGCCTCCGGCGCGGCCCAGTGCGGCCGCCGATCGCCGGGCGCCGCTAGGCCGGGAGTACGCAGGCGCGCGGCGCAGTCCGCCCCGCCCCCGGAAGTGACGCGCCCGGCCCGCCCCCCACGGTGCCTGGTCCTCGGACTGGCTGTCGGGTGCGGCTGGGCCTCCGGAGCGGCCGGGGCTCTTTCTGACGCCCAGCGCCCTGCTTCTTGCTTCTGCTGAGCGCTGGGACGGGGCTGGGCCCGCAGGCCCCGCGCGGCCGGCCGAGGCGCCTGCGCGCCTGCAGCCGCCTCGGCTCCCGTCGGCGCGGGCCTCCGCGTCGGGCCGCCCTCCTGCCCGATCGCCCTTCCGCGGAGGGTGGAGGCCGTGCTTTGGGGCTTGGCTGGTTCCTACAGCGTTTACGGAGTCACGGGCGCATTTTAGGGCATTTCCGGAGTTTTGCTTGTGTGGCAGAGCCGTCGAAATCTAAATGTGATTAGACTTAATAGCTTCAGAAGAAAACTCTCCCCAAAATCAAAGATGGAAAAGCTTTGAGTCGTGTTTTTCGGCGGTGCTCCGCGGGCGGCTGGAGGCGCCTGCCCGGGCGTGACGGCGGTGTGGCGGGGGCGACCGGGGCGACCGGGGCGCCCGCGACCCGGGGCCGGGGCCGGGCCTCTGGCGAGGTGGAGGGAACGGACGTTTTGGAAGCTCTTTACGAAGAGAATTTTATTCGAGTCCAAATGAGGACAGCTGCGCGGGGTGGGGTCTTCCCTAGGGGGCCGTGCCCCGCCGGGGGACGACGCGTGGTGTAGGGTCACAGACGTGACACCGAAAGTGACGAGTTAGTAGACATTTCAGGAAGTTGCAGACTTTACGCTTCTAGTACAGGCAGGGCTGTATGACCTTGATCTTAACGGGAACCCAAGAAGTATCTTACTTATCTTTTCTGGTCAGAATGGCCCTTTTTGGTCATTTTCTGTAAACGAAGCAGAGGTACAGTGTGTGCTGGGGCAGAAATAGAGCCCCTGCCCTGAGGGTTTCGCAGGTCATGTTGACCTTGGGAAATGTCAGGTTCAGCTTCCCCGAAGGCCCAGAAGGAGGTCCCCACACATTAAAACTGTGTGGAGGTTCCTCAAAGAGTCAAAAATAGACCTGCCCTACGACCCAGGACCCAGCAATTGCACTGTTAGGGATTTACCCCAAAGATTCAGATGCAATGAAACGCCGGGACACCTGCACCCCGATGTTTCTAGCAGCCATGTCCACAATAGCCAAACTGTGGAAGGAGCCTCGGTGCCCATCGAAAGACGAATGGATAAAGAAGATGTGGTTTATGTATACAATGGAATATTCCTCAGCCATTAGAAACGACAAATACCCACCATTTGCTTCAACGTGGATGGACCTGGAGGGTATTATGCTGAGTGAAGTAAGTCAATCGGAGAAGGACAAATATTATATGGTCTCATTCATTTGGGGAATATAAATAATAGTGAAAGGGAATAGAGGGGAAGGGAGAAGAAATGTGTGGGAAATATCAGAAAGGGAGACAGAACATAAAGACTCCTAACTCTGGGAAACGAACCGGGGGTGGTGGAGGGGAGGAGGACGGGGGGTGGGGGTGACTGGGTGACGGGCACTGAGGTGGGCACTTGACGGGATGAGCACTGGGTGTTATTCTGTATGTTGGCAAATTGAACACCAATAAAAAATAGATTTATTAAAAAAAATAAAATTTGAAAATGCCCTTGTCACTCTATCTAGGCCAACACCTCCCATTTTCCCCAGTCCCGACTGTGGTATGAACAGTTAGTTCACAGTTGTTTGTTATCTCCCAACATAACAAAACTTTCTTCAGGGAAAAAGGACAATGAACACTTCATTAAATACACAAGGAAAAGACAAACAGCTTGTTCCCCAGAGAAGAGACAGAGATGTCCAATCAACAGTGATAGAAATTCAATCTACACGTTTTAAGCTATGGATTTTAAATGTAGAAAAATGAGAGACTTTTCTCTGATCATTAAGTTTTGCATACGCACTTTCAAGATTGTTACCTGCAACAGGAAGTTATGTTGTCAAATTCAGTATGGACATACATGTAGTGCTGTAGGTCCCTACTTGAACAGTCTCCTAATAATTACAAGTGTTGCTGCTGTGTCAGTATTACAAAGTAACTTTCTTTGTTACCCCGAAGGTCCCCTCCTAGAAGTCATGTAATTTGTCATTCACATCACACAATTGCTAAAGAACCGGTGCAAAGACCTGACACTTGGCTAGATACCAGTGTCTGATTTCTTCAGTTGCTGAAGAGCCGTTGGCAGACACACACTTGTTCTGAGCTCTGCTGTCTGCAGCCAGGAGTCCCTGGGATCTGGAGGTGGTTGCCAAGTGCATGGATGCCTCTGGGCCACTGGAGTTCTGGGTTTCTGTTCTTTCGGAAGCTTCTTTGGAGCTTTTTACGTTTGTTTTGAAGTCCAATTTCAGAAACAAGGTTCATGGTGGCTGCAGGCAAGAATTTGAACAGCTGATGTACTGTTTTTCTTCAAGTGTTAGACTGAGTTGATTATTTCAACAGAACTGTGAACAAATCAACGTCTAGCATAGGGCAACTCTTGGAAGCCAAATATAGATCGTGACAGGGCAGTAATTGAGTCTGTTATATTGAGGGTTTCTTGATAAATAAACAACAAAATAACAGCAAAATACTCTCTGCCATTATTTTGGATTGAAATTATGTAAAAAGAGCTGTTATAGGGTATATGAATAATTCAAGATGAATGCTTCAAAGGGCACCTGGGGGGCTCCATCAGTGAAATGTCTGCCTTCAGCTCAGATCATGATTTTGGGATCCTGGGATCAAGTCCTGTGTCAGGCTCCCCACTCAGCAAGGAGTTGCTCCTCTCTTCCTCTGCCCCTCTCCTCTGTTTGTGCTTTCTCTTTTTCATATAAAAATATTTTTTAAAAAGGATGAATGAATCAGATGAACTCCCATTTATTGAAATCTTGGTCTTTTAGAGTCTGTCAGTATATTGGCCTAAAGTTGAAGTAACCCAAGAAATTAGCCTCCTAAAACCCTAGGCCTTACAGACTTTTAAAGTCCAGGTTAACCCTCCTATTTAGTGCATACTTCTTAAATTACTTGGGTGTTTTCTCAACTCATACTAGATTCCAGGGCCCAAGCTTCAAGTACAGAATAGGGGGAGGCAGGTGAGCTAAAATCGCAGCACAAAGTGATCACCTCAGGAGGAGTCCAGCACACCTGAAATGGCTTTGGGCATTGTCATCTGTTACATGTTTCTAAAAACTAATGATGTTAAAAAAAAAAAAAAAACTAATGATGTTGAGCCTGTGTGCATACTCAAAGCATACACAGAATCACAATCGCAAGCAGTGCAGTTTGTCAATTGAAGGTCTAAAATCATACAGTTTTTGTCAGAAAAAGGCAGATTTAAATTTTAATTCACGCTAGAGCATTAAGGTACATCTCAGGAACATCATAAAAATGACTGAGAAATGAATATAGACACTTACACATGGTAACTGTGGTGTTGTTTCCCAGTATGTAATTCCTGAGAATGGCTCTCTACATGCGTGTGTGTTTAGCCCTCTTGAGGTCACATCTGGTCCTTTGATTCATTCCAGCAACAGGGCTGCTGAGTTATAGGTCTCTCTGGTTTTCTGTCTTTCCCATAGAATATGGAAGTTACTAATACTAGTATTGTTATAAAAGGATGGTAGCAGGGATCCCTGGGTGGCTCAGCAGTTTAGCGCCTGCCTTCGGCCCAGGGCGTGATCCTGGAGTCCTGGGACAGAATCGAGTTGTGCATCAGGCTCCCTGCATGGAGCCTGCTTCTCCCTCTGCCTGTGTCTCTGTCTCTCTCTGTCTCTGTCTCTCTCTCATGAATGAATAAATAAAATCTTAAAAAAAAAAAAAGAATGGTAGCTTGTTCTTGGGGTAATTAGGAATAAGCATTGCTCAATTTCAAAACAAGAAATTCAGATATCCCTAGTTCTCACATTTCTCTTAGATGCACAAGGAAGCAACTGTAGAAGCCCACAGTAATCTGGGATAGAATTGCGTCTCATCTTTTGCAAGGATGCCATGGGGGGATAGAGCAAACTGGGGACACTCCTGCCTTTCTATGCCTTTCATTTTGACTAGCTGGGAAGCTCTCCAGTCACCATATGAGAGTGGATTTTAGGTGAACAAGTGCCTGGAGTAGCTAGAAGGCCACCCTTCTCTGTCTTCAGGCTAGGCCCTGGGCCTTTTGGAGAGATTAGTGTGTGAAAATGGTAGAATCCATTTACCCTTGCAAATGCATTGTACTTCCTGCTTTATTTTCGGTTTGCCATCCAACTCTGTGATAGCACTGGTCTTACCAACATTAAAGGTAACTTTTCTTTTTGTTGTTGTTGTTGTTTTTTAATTTAAAGGCGTTATTTATTCATTAGAGACACAGAGAGAGGGAGGCAAAGACATAGGAGAAGCAGGCTCCCTGCCGGGAGCCCGATTTGGGACTTGATCCCAGGACTCCGGGATCACGACCTGAGCCAAAGGCAGGTGCTCAACCACTGAGTCACCCAGGTGCCCCAAAAGATAACTTTTTTTATTGTCCCATGAATGGTTGGAGGCAAGCGGAAATTTCAGAAGTCCAGAAAAAGGCCTAAGGGAGATGGATGTGTGTTCTGCCACAGAAACCAGATAGCTGTCTTTACTAAGGCTACCAACTTCTTTTCAAATCTAAAATTCAGAAAATGCCACAAAACCAGACACTACAGGGACCAAACTTTGCAACTTTTGCCTAGACTGACAGGTGATGATTCACTGCTTTTTTCGTACTCCACAGGAAGCAAGGCTTACAGACTGTGGGGGCTCCTTGAGGCATGTCATGGATGATTGGGGACCCCAGAGTCATCCTTGCTGCCACAGGATTTGTCCAGTGACCACATGCTTGC